CGATCTCGTAGCTCAGCCATCTACTCCCAAGCCTGTGGCTGTTGGTAGTGCTGTTGCATTGGCTTTGACTCATAGTGACCTTGTGTTCAGCAGAATGAACCACTGCCCAGTCCTATACCAGCCTCACAATGGTGAGCCATAAGCCCATGGATGCAGCACTGTGTCAATCCACCTCACGATGCTTCTTCCGCTTTTTCTCTTTTTTTTCCCCAAGCACATTTGTACATTTATTGCCATCATCATTTTCAAAACATTTTCTTTCTACTCGAGCCCTTGGTATCAGCTCTTCATTTTTTCCCCTCCTTCCCGCACCCTCCTTCTTTTTCACTAATGTTATACTTTAACAATATGATGTCCTTCTCCAGGGACCTGTTCAAAATACATGAGATGAAGTTTCACCACAATAGCTTCTAAGGACCATTCTGGTAATATTTCCTATTTTCTCTATAACTATGAGATATAAAATGCTCCTTAGAAAGCTTGCACCTGGTCCACCTTGAGACCAACCTATCTCAGCTCCATCCTGGTGGCTGATGACCGGAAGATGAAGGACATCCTCGTGACTGAAACAGGCCCCTGGAATGGGACCTGGATGTCTCAGGTCTCTCTGGTTCACGTCCTTTGCCTTCATTACAGCTGGGCTCTGGAAATTCCTAAGTCCAATATAATTGCTGCACAGAGGCTGTTTCAGGAAGGGGTCTCGAGTGAAGGTAAAAAGGGTTCCTACAGCACCCCCGTTTATAACCATGTCAGAATGGTGAGAGTATTATTACTTAGCTACATGCTTTAAGATTTCTGGGCTGAATTGGCATGAATAATGCTCTGGATACTATCTGAGCGTTTGTCTAGGCTCTAACAGGGACTGATGGTTCTTTTTCCACTGCTGGAGGTACTTTCCCAGGGAATCAAATACATTCCTCATTCTCAGGTCTGTCCCATGTGTCCAAAGCAGGAGGCCTTCACTGTGCAGAGCTTTAGTTTTCTGGGCAACACTGCTTACATCCAAGTATTAGTTTTTTCATTCTTTTTGATGAGAATCTTTTTTTCCCTTTTCATAAATCATTTTATTGGGGACTCATATCTCTTATTAAATGTTCTAGCTGGGAATGAGCCCGTGTAAACGTTATAGTCTTGAAATGATATTTGACTGACCATATTTGATTTGACCCCTAGTCCTCAAAAAACTCATATGTATCTTATCAAGGAAGGGACTTTCCATGGAGGATGTTTCTTGGGGGCTTGGGTGACAGCGTATTCGAAGCCAGGAAGCACACAGGAAGCAGGGCGAAGTTGCAGAAAGCTCCGGTCAGTGAGTGCTGCAGGGCGACCTGCCTATCCTGTGAGTCTTCAGAACAGAATTTTCTTTCTTTCCTCTCTTCCTTCTTTCTTTCTCCTCTCTCTCCTTCTCCCTTCCTCTCTTACTTTCCCTCCTCTTTTCCTTTTTCCAACAGTTTTATTGGCATATCATTCACATGTCATACAATTCAATAGTTGAATCACATCAAGAAGAGAGTCGCAGGGAAGCAACAAAGCCCACAAGGAGGAAGCACACCAACCCGTGTGATCACGAGGGGTAGATGGGATCAGGGATCAGGCATCCGAAAACAAACAAGCATTGTGACACGAGGGGGGTTGGAGTGGAGATTCCAATCTCATCTGTGGACAATTGGATGTCCCCTCACAGAAGGGTCACAAGGAAGAGACGAGTCGGCCAGGGTGCAGTATAGCACCAACAGAACGCATGATCCCAGTTCAACCTTCCAAATCCTGCTAGACCAGAGCATGTACAGTGGTACAGATAAGAGCCCTCGACACACAGACTCCAGGACAGATAAACCCCTCAGGATGAACAACAGAAATGTGGGTGAAGGGAGACAGCAGAGGGTGTAAAATATGAAAATAAAAATAATTTATAAATTATCAAAGGTTCATGAGGTTGGAAGCAGGGCGGGGGCAGGGGAGAGGAACTGATACCAAGGGCTCATAGAAAGAAAATGTTTGGGAAATGATGATGGCAATATACGTACAAATGTGGTTGAGACAACTGATGTATGAACTGTTCTGAGCTGTAAGAGGCCCCAATAAAATTATCTATTAAAATTAAAAAAAGGAGGAGAGTGGCACAATCATCACCACAATCCATTTTAGAGCACTGTCTTTGCTGTTGTACTCACCCTGTTTCCCCAAAACCTCCCCTGCCACACCCACAAGGAACCATGGTTACAAGTTGGAGTGTCACGGAACAGGGCCTCATCAGCCTCTACAGTCAGGGTTACATAAGAGATCACAGTAACTGAAGAACAGCAGCCAGGGAGGGCTGCCTGGGACCATAGGATGCATGATCAGACAGACAGGGTAGAGCGTGGGGTGTGGCCAGGGTCCAGGGTGAGGGGGAGACGCTGTCCCTCTCACTCCTGTTACTTGAAGTTCACCAGATATGGCAGGGACCAGCCTGACAACACCCCGTCCAACGCTCCAAGAAACACAGGAAGTGAGACATGAGCCCAGTGATGTCACCCTCCAGTACTGAGTGACTTCGGGAGAGGCTTAGAACAAATTTAGAGGGAAGCACAGCAGCAGACACTTGGATATCAAACCCCTGGAAGTTTTAGAAGCAGGCCAGAAACACATACATTGTAAAAATAAAATTAAACATTGGAATAAATTAAGCTTTGACTAAATTAAGCTGCCCCATTGTGACCAATGGTGCCACCATGTGTTATATAGAAGAACTCCCTAGGGTTTTGCCGGCTGTAATCTTTACAGAGGCAGATGCCTAGGCTTTTGTCTGTGGCTTTTCTGGTGGATTCAAAGGGCCATCTTTTAGATTAGATTAGTAAGGGAGTGCAAACCATTCACACCACCCAGTGACCTGACGATGTGACCACTGTCTATTAAAACACAAATGAACAGTGCCTCCCATATGCATCGATAGGGAATTAAACTTGAGGCTTCGCTGAGAATAGTGGTGCTCGTCTAGCTCAGTCTAGCTGCAGCAGATCCAAAATATATTTCGGATCCATCCACTTTTTGACCTCCCAATACCATATCCCTACCCTAAACCTGCTCACCAGCAAGCTTTAATGAGTGACAACACTGTTATCCACTTTTACTGAATCCTCAAGCCTACCAGTTAGCCACACTCAAGTAGAAGGGCTTTTGGGAAATATAAATTCTCTAACTCCTTTGTTAATGAGTCTTACATGGCTTTTCTCTTCAAAAAATCAAACTCACTGCTGACTCAAAGTGACCTTATAGAACAGAGTAGAACTGTGGGTTTCTGAAACTGTATATATATATATATCTGGGATTTAATACATATATCATATCATTCCGTAGTTCAATCATGTCAAGCAGAATCGTACAATTGCTATCACAATCAGTTTCGAGACATTCATTTTCTACATCGACTCCCCTTTACCACCACCCCACCACCACGGTATGTCCCCCCCTCCCCCAAACTCTTCTTCTTCTTGCTGTTGCTATAGGTTCCTCAATCCTAAGTTTCTTATACTGAAAATGGAAAAACATGTAACAGAACTTCAAGAGGATGACCTCCACTGACATAACACCTCTGAGATAGACCCTAATGTGAACAAACAAAAACCAAGCAACACAATACCACCCCCAATACAGAACATTTTGGAAACCAGATCAGGGCCAGCCTGTATCATAGTGGGGATCTACTGACAAAGTTTTCAATTGTTCAAGTCTTAGATATGCCTTTGACCTTCTATACTCCTCTCCCAAGCACTCTGTTTAGTGGCCACTGTCTTCCCATCCCTCAGTTTTAGACAGAGGGAGTTCTCTGGAGGCTTATTCCTGTTAGTTCCACAAACGAATCTTGGGCTCCCACTGTGACCCATCACCTGCTGCACAGCAGCTTCTCACAAACTAGTCCTCCCCTGACTTTGAATTACATGGATTACAATCCTTCAGTGAATGATCATGTTGTGCTTCTTCCATGTGGATTTAGTTAACATCTCACTTAGATGGCTGCTTGTTTGAAGACAAGCCTTTAAGGCACCAGACACATTTTTATCTGATAGCCAGGCACCATCTAAATCAGGCGTCCTCAAATTATGGCCTGCAGGCCCCATGCAGCCCGCGGAAGACATTTATCCGGCCCACCAGGTGTTTTTGCCCCGTTTGTTTTTCTACTTCAAAATAAGATATGTGCAGTGTGCATAGGAATTTGTAAATAGTTTTTTTAAACTATAGTCCGGCCCTCCAATGGGTCTGAGGGACAGTGAACTGGCCCCTGTTTAAAAAGTTTGAGGACCCCTGATCTAAATTCTTCACCACATTTGCTATAGCACCCATATCTTCTGTGTTCCCTTTCTGAAGGCAAGCATTGAGCAGGGTCATGAGGTAAGAAATAATTGTTCCTAAATTGTTGCTAGGCTTTAATGCGAACCCATAATCCATTTCCGGATTGCTTTTTTTTTTTCTTTTAACTTGAAATTACTTGGGAGTGAATGCATATGTCGTAGCATTCCATAGTTCAATCATGTCAAACAGAATTGTATGATTGTTTCCATAATCAGTAGTTTGCTCTGATACCCAAAGGAAAGTAGCTCAATCATCCCATATCATGTTGCTCTGCTTACCATGTTCATACAGGTCCTTGGGTGGTTAAAAAAAAAGTTCACACAGAGCTGGGAACCCCAGGGTTTGCACCCAGGCAGCAGCCCAGTAGAAGCAAAGGGCTGCTCATCTTCTTCTGAAAGATTACACCCATGAAATCCCTACGGAGCAGTTTGATTCTGGAACACATGGGGTTCCAGAGGCAGAATCGACTGGAAGGCACCAGACAACAACAGCAGCCACCTTGTGTATGTTCATGTTACAGGTGCCTAGAAGAGTTTGCAGGTGCGTAGACACCACATGCGCAACGTCTGTTCAACAAATAAGCATCCCTTCGTGCCTGTCTAGTGTGACGTCAATGTGAGTGAAGCCACACTGTGCTCAGCCACAGATAACACCATTCGTTCCCGTACCTTTGTACGATGACTGTGGAGGAATGAAAGACTCCAAAGGAGAGCGACTATTTCTGTTCTGGAAAGTTCCGCCGGGGCTCTTCAGTTTTCTTCATTTTCCTCAGTGTTCATTTTGGCAAGTGGTGGAAACATTTCGCCACAGCGTATTTCTGTAACAAACAAAATGGCCTCAATGTGACTCAGAAACCCACCAACTTTTCACTGGTTAAAAAATAAATCACATAACCCCCTTTACTTCACATTCTCCTCCGTGCCGTGCATCTGTTCGTGACTGGTTCTATCCTTGTCTCAGGCATGCAGCCACTGTTTGGAACAGTCTTACCTGGATGGCCCGAGGCAGTGTTCGTTCCCTTAAGACCTCCCATTGTGTGATTCCATTTCCCCAGTAGATGGTGAGTTACATGCGGGTAGGGGCTGTGTCTTTGGGTCATGGTATTTTTAGAATCCTGACCGCTATTGGCCACTTAGAAATGTTTACTGTGTACATCAGGGTCCTTGCATGGTGCAAATGGCTCACTTAGATGATTGCTAAACTGAAAGGCCACAAGAGGCGCAAAGCCACCCTGAGGTGCCTCAGAAGAAAGGCCTGGCAATCTTCTCCCAAGAAATGAGGCATTGAAAACTCAGGTCTTCTGACTCACGCAGGGGCCACCATGAGTTAGAATAGAGTCCACAGAAATTGCCTTTTTACATTTTATTATGAATACTGGCTGAATTAAAACGATAGGTGGATCTGACAAGTTCCTGGCTGACAGTTCAGTACAGTATTGTTCACATGAGTGAATAATAAACAGTACTTGTGACATCCAGTCTTGCAGGGGAATGCCAGGTTCTGATGATAGCTCTGTTTCCTCCACAGGGTAACTAGCTAGCTCCCCGACATGCATGCGCTCACACACACATGCATGCACGCACACGCACGCACACGTACGCACACACATGCACGCACATGCACGCACACACAGCAGCAGCAGCCCCAGTAGCTGCTGCAGCAAAGTTGTGCTAAAGTTTTATTTAAGCACAGAAACACTTCAAAAGAGGCGAAGTGGGTCCCTTGACAGGCTGCGAGAGGGCCCCCGAGCAGGGAGAAGGGCACATTCAAAGGGTTAGGGACTTGTCGTTCCACAAAGGCTGCTTTCTAATTAGTTATTACCTTCGTTCTTGGGTCTTCTACCTATTTCTTTCTAACGAATCTCATGCTACAATTCTGTGTCAGGATGCCTTGAGGCTTGCAAACCTGGGTACAACGTCTCAAAATCACCGCGTCTGACCTCAACATGGAGACCTTGAAAGGCT